TAGTTCCCTAAGTCCTACGAAATTACTCTTCCTGGGGCTGAGGGAGCTGCAGCACCCTCGTAGGACTATCTTTCATTATCGTATCACCGTTTTGAATCTTTCTAAGGTCCTGGTAGCTTCTGAGTGACATAACTCCTGGTACAGGATAACTACTTCATATATCAGACCTCCGCAAGTCTTTGCCCGTGTTTCTGGCTTCAAAGGTGCGAAAATTCAGATCGCCCACCCATTTTCACAAACTTCGGTCTCGCCCAAAGACCATTAACGGATTACGCTGCTAAACTACCAAGAAGTGGCCAACATGACACTCCTTGCACACTAACTTCCAGTACAAAATGGGTAAAATTTTAGTCCTGATAGTATCAAGGCACTTGTGGCATGGTAAGTGAAACTTAAATTCTCATTCCAATATAGGCTGCCTCCCAACCAGAAAACCAGGTGCTGGTTGGGAGAAGTCCTAAATAGGATCAGTCATTATTAGTACTCGATTCATTGGCCACTTAGAAAAACCAGCCAAACTTATGAAAGTGTGTGGCTCGCTTGACAACTGCCGTACTTTTTTTTTTTTTTTTTTTTTTTTGGGGGGGGGGGGGGGCTGCTGGTTGACTAAGGCATCCTCCTGGCTCTTTTTACAAAGTGCTGTACACTTTGGTATTACTGTACATAAATACCAGAGTTTTTGAGTTTACTTTCATTGCTCTGCTTTATCCCATTTGTGACAATGTATAAAAACCACATTAAACTAGTTTGTAACAGCACTCTTGCACAGTTTCTAAATTTCTATTCAGTGGTGCACGCGTCAATACGGAATGCTGGCCAGGCTTTCTTTGAATTTCTATAAAAATTCTTTTTAACATGGCAAGTTTCTGTAACTTGCACTGTTGCTGTAGTTCTGCCTCTTACCACTGATTAACATTTCCAGTTGTGGACGACATGCTGAGGAAAACCAGAGCTCAAACTCCAATTTTTCAAAGTGGGCACATACGTACAACCTGCTTGACAAATCTGCAGTGTAGCTGCTTGATTAACCTTTCGACTACAGAGCTTCCGTCCTGTTTAAATATTTTGCCATCTGGCGGAATACTGCAGGTCCATGGCAGATTGTTCAGTCTGTGGTGCTGCCTACCACACCAATAAATCTCAGCCTCCATTTTCTTAATTGTAAAGCTCTTCTCATTACAAGCTTACTTCAAAGAACTAAAAATCGGCTCAGGCTTCACTTGCGTCATGGCAATCTCCTCTCTGCCTCAAAGGGGAAAACTTTCAGACTTTGTCTTCGGTCTTCTAAACTCCCTCCAACCTCGGTGGCACCTGCTGTCTCGTCTGGTCACAACTGTCGCCAGTTTCAAACTTTTGCAGCCCTGGCCTTGGATTGCAACCTCAGCGCTTCTGTCTTGTCTACTTCGAATGAGTCCTGTCTAAAAGACCTCAACTAACCTTCCCTTCGCCTCTACTCCAAAAATTCAAATCGTCCCAAAGTTTTACTCCTTTAGGAAGGATATAGATTGCCTCGGAGGCCTATGGAGTGGGCTTGGACCAAAAAAATTTTAAATTTAAAACTTATTTAAAACCAAAAATAAACATAGAAAACCACTAATCCCTTAAACAGGTATCCAAAATAGAATTCGTAAGCACAGTACATCATATGAATTGGTAAACATTCCGACGGTCCGCAAATTTACACTTCGAGCCACCTGGGGCCGTTCATCATGCATAAATAAAAATCAGATAAGAGCTTCGTGGCCCACATGTCGTCCTACTACAAAAATGCACCAAGACATGCTTAAATAAATCATATAACCCTATCTCCTTAACCACAATAGATATAATCACATAGCTAGATCTATAGCATGTTTAGGAACATTTTATAATAAAACATTGACAAAATATTACAAAACGTCAATACACTGTTAATCATTCGTCTCTCAACCTGCGGGCTGAGAGGACGCTTTCTGAGCCTGCTCTTGCTTACACCTGGTGGCGAACCGTGTACTACAGTACGCAACCTCTTCAAGGGGGGCTCCTTGGCGTGGTGAAGAGGCTCTTGGTCTGAGGAATTAGACCTATCGGTCTTCTTCCTCAGACCGAACCTAATTACCCCCCAATCTCCCCTCCCCTATCCCATCCTCCCCATCCTCCCCTTTTTCCTTTCCTCCTCCTCCTCCCCACTCCTCCCTTTTGCCCTTCCTCTTTTTGTCCTTTGGGATTTCTCCCACAGGCACGCTAGTTCCTAGGTAGAGGAAGGACCCCGGGGCCCGATCCCATTCCGTTGAGGTTTTCTTGGGTGGCGTAGTTGCCGTGGAATCTGGATTGCCTAGGGATGTCCATCCCTCTCCGTATCCCGGAGTAGCTTTGGGTGTCTTTTGGGCGACGGGTGTATCTCTGGAAGCCACCTTTCGGATTCCGGGGGGTGGGCTGAAGGAGGTATGCTTTGTGGCGGATATCCGGCCGCCCTCTCTTTTGTCCACCGAGGTAGCTCGGCAGATGTGGGGTTTTGCTATCCCAGATTGCGGTTTTTACTGGCATGAAGGGTTTAGGGTATGGCACGGGTTCCATGCTGAAATCTGCGCTACTAGCGGTGTCGAGTCCTCTTGGGCGCGGAGGGAGATTTCTGGCCCTTTCATTCCTCCTAGGAACTACCCCTCCCCGGGTCCCCCCCTTTTTTTTTTTTTTTTTTCTTTTTTTTTCTTTTCTTCTTTCTTTTTTTTTCTTAAAAACAAAAAGAAAGAAGTAACTAACCATGGCAGCCCTAGTCCATGAACCTGGTACCCCGGGCCCCTTCTTGATACCGCACCCCGTTCTGACCCCGCCTCGTCTTTGGACCACTCTTCAGACATTCCTCATGCCTCTGTACCTATTGCCGGTCCCGTTTCCTCACCTGCTTCAGGTACTGAGGCCTCACTGACTCCTTCGATTTATCAGACCTTCGCTCTCCTCTGACTATGCTTCCCGGGCCCTCTCCCTCTACGGGGGCGGCAATTTTCAAATCCCCGACCCGTTCCACGTCGGCCCAAACTCTGGTCCCACCCCTAAACGTCAACGACAATTACCTGCTGATGATACTTCTCCACCTTCACCTTCTCGTTCTTCTCAGAAAAGATCGACACGTCCTTCACTACCTTTCCACGCTCAGTTTTCAGACTAAACAGTGGACTAAATTCTTCACTTTACGCCCAATTTCCTCTACTGCCTATCTTTCTGACCATAGTATTGGCAAGGCACTCCTACGCCATGTTGGTAAAGATATTTCTTTTCATGCTCTTAAGGCGGCACGCGCATCATTACCGTACAGAATGCTACCCAGGCTCGTGAGCTCTCTCGTCTTTCCCATATAGATACTTTTCCCTGTCACCCTTGAAAAACATCATTCCCTCAATTCTTGTAGTGGTACCGTTATTCTGCCCCCATACCATAGTTCAACAAATTTCCAGACATGTGGCACCGACATTCTAGAACAGCTGGAATTTCCAAGATCTCCCAATCCTCAAGGTAGACACTTACGTTCTTCCTGCCCGTGGGGGACGATACCCTAGCAATGTGGCTCTTTAACTTTTGACAGCCGAGAACTCCCATCCTCAGTTTATATAGCAGGACATCGGTTACAAGTTCAAAAAGGTGATCCCTACACCACAACAGTGTAGAAATTGCTGGCGATTTGGCCATCCAGCGAAATATTGCAGATCTATCGCCGAAGGCCCAGTCTGTGGTGCCGATGACCATTCTAATACGTCTTGCAATCGATCTCCCTTTGCCTTAACTGTCATGAGGCTCCCCCTTCGTACTCTCGCCGTTGTCAGGTCTATTTAAACGAACGGGAATCCGTTACCTCAAAGAGACAGAAGGTCTCCCTTATGCCATGGCAGTTTCTCATCTCCGCCTCCAAGGGAGACTCCCACGTGTTTCTTATTCCGTGTTTCAAAACGTCCCCCCACTTCTGGTATCCCATCTTCTACACCCACCTCTGTGGTTACCTCTCCCATAATCACCCCTGTATCTAATCCTTTGCTGCCCCTGGGCTCAGACGTCCCTACTTCAACGCCTCAGTCTAATCTCGCTTCTTCGAGTTCTCTCTTACAAGCCTCAGTATCGACGAGACCTCGTACGACACCTCTTCCCAATCGTCCCTCTACTTCTCAAAAGTCAAAAAAAGGTCCGGTAACACCTCCTACCCATCTTCCACCTCCTCATTTTACCCTCCCTGTCTCTGTCCCTAGTTCTTCCCTCTCACTGGCTCAGTTACAAGTGCAGAGGTTCACCCTCCTCCTCGAAAATGTACCTTCCCCCCCTGTTCCCTCCCAAGTTTCTTCCTCTTCTGCCCCCTCCCAGGTTCCTGTCTCTTCTGTCCCCTGCCACGCTTCCCCAGTTCCCCCACCTTTCGCCCCCCCCTCCCTTGGTACAGTCCAATACAGTTCCAATCTTTACTCATCCTCCCCCTACCATTCCCAATATTGTTCCCCATACGACATCTCTGAATTCCGAAAACACTTGAAGCAATCTCTGAATATATTGCAGAGACCAACCATCAATGGACACTGATCCACCTTCCGCTCTTTCTCTCTCCTCTGCTCCATCTGCGCAACTCCTTTCTTCACAGCGCACCGTTCCTTCGCTGCTTGAACATTTTCCACTGCCTCCCATGTGGACTTTTCAAAACCCCCCTAGTCCGTAGGAACCCTTACCTGCGGATTTCAAGTATCTTTATCATTGCCAATCATGGCCTTTTTACAGTGGAATATACGTGGCCTCAGGGGTAATCGGGGTGAGCCTTCAGATGTTACTCTCCCAGTTTGCCCCTGTTGGTGTTTGCTTACAGGAACCAAAATTACACTCTGCTTTTTATTTCTCACATCTCAGGCTATAATTTATTGTATTTTTCAGATCCTTTTCCTGATGGGACCTTTAATGAAAGTGCCCTTCTTCTCCGCACTGATATTCCGTACCATCACCCTATTTGTTCATACTTCGCTGCATTACACAGCAGCCCGTATCCACTTACATAGGTGGTATACGCTCTGTTCTTTATATCTCTCTCCTTCTCGGGCATTATCTATTCCGGATTTTGCCTTCCTTGTTTCGTCATTACCGCCACCGATTCTGTTACTTGGTGTTTTTAATGCCCCCCATTTCCTCTGGGGAGGGTCTCACTGTGATTCCCGAGGAATTCAGTAGGGGCTTTCTTTCCCAAACCCACCCCCTCCATGTTTTAAATACAGGTACTCGCACCCATTTTGATCCTCGGACTCATACTCTCTCTTGCATCGATCTCTCAGTTTGCTCTTCCTCCACCGCATTAGACTTTACTTGGTCTGTTCTCCGGACTTACATGACAGTGATCATTTCCCAATCATTCTTACTTCCCCTTCATATTCGCCACCTCTTCGCACCCCACGCTGGCAATTTAATCGGGCAAATTGGAACCTTTACTCACACCTGACTTTTTTTTTAAAAAAGGTTCCTTCTTCGTCCTCCATCGATGAGCTTTTCCCACCTCTTCTCGCCCTCCGTTTTCACTGCAGCTTCTCATTCTATACCCCAAACTTCGGGCAGGCATTCTCAGAAATGCGTGCCTTGGTGGTCTCCTGCTTGTGCTCGTGCAGTACGTTTGAACGCGCTGCATGGGGCAGGTACCGGTACAATAGAACCACAGAGCGACTCCTTGATTTTAAACAGAAGCGTGCGATCGCTCGCCGTGTCATCCGTGACGCTAAACGCACTTGCTGGCGAAAATTATGTCTCCACCATCACCTCTGCTTCCTCTATGAGTTGCAGTCTGGAAAAAGTACGAAAACTGAGTGGTAAATATTCTCCTGACCCGGCTCCTGTTCTGCGGGTTGCCGGTGTTGATATAGCAAACCCACTAGATGTTGCCAATGAAATTGGCAATCATCTGGTCCGTATTTTCAGGGACTCCATCTATGCCCCTCATTTCTTTCCTCAAAGTCTGCCAGAGAGTTAGCACCCTTGGACTTTTCTTCTCTCAGAGAAGAACAGTATAATGTGCCTTTTACACTTCAAGAACTGGAGGCAACACTCTCAGCTTGTCGATCATCGGCAGCTGGGGGCCCGACGACATTCATATTCGTATGCTACAACATTTACATCAGTCAGCCCCTTGCAGTCCTATTACGCCTTTACAATCTTATTTGGTCCACAAGGAGTTCTTCCACAGCTGTGGAAATCTGCCATTGTTCTCCCTTTCCGCAAACCCGGCACTACGGGACATGAAACCTCCCACTATCGTCCCATTGCTCTTACCAGTGGGAGTTTGCAAAGTAATGGAACGTCTAGTAAATTTGACGTTTAGTGTGGTATTTAGAGAAAACACAACAGTCCCCTCCACTCGTCAATATGGCTTTCGTAAGGGACGTTCCTACCATAGACCCTTACTGCGCTTGGATACTATGTTCGTAATGCCCTTTTCGAATAACCACTCAGTTATTGCCATATTTTTGACCTTGAGAAGGCATATGACACAACTTGGAGGTATAATATTTTAGCCCAAGCCCATCCTTAGCCTTCGAGGGAATCTACCATCCTTCCTTAAGAACTTTTTAACTGACAAAGGGATTTCCGTGTTCGGGTTAATAATGTGCTCTCCCCGGGCTTTATCCAAGTGAAGGTGTCCCCCAGGGATGTGTTCTGAGCACAACACTTTTTCTCCTTGCTATTAAAGATTGGCCTCTAGTCTTCCATCAAATATTTTTGGGCATCCCCTCTATGTTGATGACTTCGCTATTGCCTGTGCAGGCGCTGACTGTCACCTCCTTACAGTTTCTCTCCACATGCAGTTCGACCGTGTGTCCAATTTGGGCCACCCCACATGGGTTTAATTTTCCAGCACTAAAAAACCCCAAAATCACTTTCACTAGACGCTCTGCATCTCTAATCACCTTTGTACCTCTATGGCTCACGTATCCCTGAACGTGATACAGTCAAGTTTCTGGGCCTCCTCTTGATCGTAGGTTATCCTGGAAACCTCCCCATTACCTCTCTGAAAGGCAACTTGTCACAGCCGGCTGAACCTTCTTAAAAAACCCCTTTCTCATCTTTCGTGGGGAGCTGATCGTCGAACCTCCTTCCCCCTACCCATTCCACCCTTATTTTATCGAAACTTGATTATGGTGACCAGATCTATTCAGGGGGCATCTCCTGCTACTCTCTCTAGCCTTAACCCCATTCATCACCAAGGATTACGTTTATGCCTTGGTGCTTTCTGCTCTTCCCCTGTCGAGAGCCTCTATGCAGAAGCGAACGTCCAATCGTTATCCGATCGCCAGATGCCCCTTGCCTGCACTACTATGTACGCTCTCATGATCTCCGCAATCCTTCCATTTATAAATGGTCACTGATGTTAGTAGAACATTCTTTATTTGTTCGCCGCCCCTGTTTACTCCGTCCCTTCTCTCTTCGCCTCATTCGCTCTTGTCTTCTCTTCAACTACCCCCCTTTCTATGTACATGTAGCATCTCACTTTTCCCTACCCCCCTGGAAGTTCCAGCTGTTCGAGTCTGTTCTTTCTCCCTCCCTTACTCGAAAGCCCAACTGTCTACGGTCACTTCCCCTCTCTTTTCTTGACCACTTTCACTCTCATTCTCATGCCATTGCTGTGTACACAGATGGCTCTAAGTCTTCTGACGGCGTAGGATTCGCAGCAGTGTTTTCCCGGGCAGCGTCGTACAAGGGCATTTACTATCTTCGGGCTAGTATTTTTACTGCTGAATTATATGCCATCCTTACAGCACTTATTTCCCTATTGCATCTATGCCTGTGTCTTTATTTGTTGTTGTCTCAGACTCCCTTAGTGCTTTACAAGCTATACAAAAATTTGATACACCTCACCCCTTAGTCCTCCGTATCCAACTTTGGCTACGCCGCATCTTTACCAAGCATAAAGATATTGTTTTTTGTTGGGTCCCTGGTCATGTTGACGTACAGGGCAATGAACAGGCAGACACTGCTGCGCGGTCAGCAGTACATGACCCACCAGTTTCTTATAGAGGTATTCCATTTAGGACTATTTTGCTGCAATATCTTCCCACCTTCACACCCGTTGGCAACAACGTTGGTCTACTATGCTCGGCAACAAACTTCAGTCTATTAACCGAGTATAGGTTTCTGGCCCTCTTCTTATCACCAGTGTCGAGGTTGGGAGACTACTCTCTCCCGTCTTCGCATTGGCCATACTCGTCCTTACTCATGGATATCTCATGGAGAGGCGTCTTGCTCCTCTTCCTGTGGAGAATTGCCAAGCTCCATTAGCATCAGCCCCATTCTGTTGGACTGCCCTCTTTACAACGACACGCAGAATTTACCTTGTCGTCGTCTTCGCTCCGCTGCTCTCTCTTTACCTTCCCTTCTCGCTGATGGACCCACCTTTCATCCGGACTCTCTCATTGACTTTTTGACAACGACTGACTGACTTCACAAATTCTGATACCTTCAGCCCTTTCTACTTCAATCTCTTGCTACCTTCTACCCCCGTACTATCCCCTGCCCCGCTGTTTTCTGTAACCTGCTGATCATCCCCCCTCCCTTCTGCCATCCAATTCCCTTGCTTCCTTCCCTACCCTGCAGCGCTGTATAGCCCTTGTGGCTTAGCGCTTCTTTTTGATTATAATAATAATATACTCTTATACATTATTGTATTTGTCCTATGTTTTAAATAAAAATATAAAAAAAAATGCACTTAAATTAGTGGCTTGAACCCATAATATATAAATGAAAGCAAAACATATAACGTAAATTGCAACACAAGGAAGCATATAGTTTAACATGCAGACATAACAGATGCTCATGGAAATATAGAAATAAAACATTATAACCCGTATGCAACATCCCTGTGCAAATAGTTGTTATAAGAATAACTGCACACTGCAACCTCCCTCCCCCCATTCCCAACAGCTGTATCTGCCGTCATCATAACCAAAACTATAAAATAACATTAATTAACATGGTTGAAAATAAACATTCTCAAACAAGCTTCATACATAACCACATTCCTGCATAACAGAGGAAATACAGATGCATAAACATGTATTACATACGAACAAAAACCACAATGAATACAGCGGCATACAGACACAGCATACCTCTCCAAACACGTAATTAAACCCCTACATAATACAGCATAATAAAATAGTCTACTTAAACATACAATCACTTCATAGAAGTACTAAGTATTAATAATATAAAAATTAAAATCCAATAAAATTAAAAAAAAAAAAAAAACATAAATCAACATATCTTAACACAGAAGCTTTCTTCAGCATCCTTCATACATAGCCACACCCCTGCGAGACACAGGAAGTACATTAGTTAAAAATGATACATTAGCATAATCATTGTTCGTATTCCTCGCCCAGCTGCCGGTGAGGGTGGACGTTTGCTACTCCTCTCTGACAGGCACAAGTGCTAGCCAGGCTGTCACAATGGTGGTTGGGGTGCGACGCAGAATTAACACTGTCGGCATAGAATTACTGAGAGGTACAATTAATCAAGATTCGGCCTTGACGTTGTTGCCTCTGATTATTCGAGAGGCATGGGTTTGAGGATTGCGACCTTTACGGTGTAGCCTTAAATAGAAACTACCGAATGTTCGTGAAACTGCTGTCATCACAGGTGTATGAGGATCTTGGTCATCATCAGGATGTTGCTATCGAGGTTAACGAGGGCATCCTGGTCTAAAGATGGTCGATGTTTCGAGTCAATTTACGTATGTAAAGTTAGTAGGTGCCTTTCGAGGCAAATGAAGCAGACTACGTTAGTGTGTTCGGGATGTTTTTGGGACTGTTCACGTTGCTCAACAAGGCAAGGGACGGCAGGGGGGGCTTTATGTGGGTTATCCAGAAGGTCAGTTTTAGCCTAAAGATGGACTGAGGCTACCTATACTTCGTATGTGTCCTTAGAGGAATTTATGACACAAATACTTGTAATTACGTGGCCAACGTAGAACTTGTAGACTGTTGATGGTTATGATCACATGTGTACGGGGAGGTGGGCCAGGGGAATAACTACAAGGAGTGGACATTTCGATGCGAAGGGCCTACAGTGACTGATCTGAACCGCCAGATGGAGTTGGCGTGGTCGGTTGTGGAGTGAGGAAAGTGGAGGAAAGCCAACGTGAGGTGGAGCATGGGGTTTGCAGTGCAGC